CTGGGATTAAAGGCGTGTGCCGCCACCGCCTGGCCTTTTCTGTATTTTTGAACTGTTTATGATCAGTATAAGGTAAACATTAGGAAAGTGAACATGAAAAGTTCCTGGGGGGAGGAGAGTGCTTTCCATGGGTCTCTGGAAATCCCAGCATGTGGTGTGGTCTGCTGGGTACAATTATGCAGGAGGAGAAGAGAGCCAGAGGGTGACTGGTCAGGCAGCAGAAGGTGGTTTTTCTGACTGCTATAGCATCAAGGAGCCTGTCCTTTAAAGCAAACGGTAGGACTTGGGTGTATGGGTGAATTGGTGCTTTCCTGTTGGAGGGTTTCACTGTGCAAGGCTAACATAGTCAAGAAATCTCCAGAACACCCTCATCTGTCTGTCTTGTGCAACTCAAGCCCTGTTCAGGTGGGACTATGTGCTGGTTTCACTCTGTTCCCCATCCTCCTCTTTTAACAAACAAGGCTGTGTGATTAATGGAAGTCTTTGTGTTGATATCTCAGTCATATTGGACTTTCATAGCTTTAAGATGGGGGTTGTTGAAGGAGAATGCTTAATGTTGCTCCCATGCCATAATACCTACAGAAAAGTCAGCGAGAAAGAGGGAGAGAGGGGGCAGGACTCCAATACTGTAAGCAGTTTCTGGTTATTTCTGGATATTACTTCTGGATGTCTCTGTGTTTTCTTCTGACTGGCTTCCCTACCCCCACTTTCTAGATCTGAGATGTGCTACTGTTTGTTGCTCCCTCTGTGGGAAGGTAAACTTCATAGGCAAGAAAAAAGAAACAAACAACAAAACAAACCTCCGCAACCCTCATTTCTCTCCAAATTTCCAATTTCCTTCATTCAAAATAAAAAACAAAACAAAACAAAAAACCGAAGCCCTATGCTTTCTATTGCAAGGACTTTAGTAACTAAACGGAGGGATTCCACAACTTTGAAAATCTAACTCAATCAAAAATTCTTTTCTTTTCCTTTTTTCTTTTGGTAATTATTAAAATGTCCAAATTTCTGATTAAGGAACGCTGGAGGGCAGAAGGATCTGCGAAGACATGAATGAAGGGAAAGGGTGAAAAGAAGAAATCCCAGCTCAGCCTGGAAGGCTGCGCGTGAAAGAACCCGGCTCCCTTGGAGACTCCAGGCCGCGTTTTGCAGGCAGCCGCATCTGCCTCCCCTGTCTCTTACCTCCTGGATGTGAGGAACTATTTGTGGTCGGCGTGGTGGAAGGACACAGTGAGGTTCTCACCTCCGCCCCCCGCCCGTCGCTCGCATCCCCAGTTCCATCAAAGCCAACCCGGACCAGCGCAGGGATCTCCGAGTTGCGAGTGTGCTGAGGCTGGGACTGTCACTCATTCTCCGCTCAGCGCGTGAACGCAGCTCGGCAGTGGCTGGCAGGAAACAATTCTGCAAAAATAATCATACCCAGCCTGGCAATTGTCTGCTTCTCGGTCCGTTGCTCCGCCGCCGTCCACAGTCGCTAGCAAGGGGAAGGCACAGAATTTACCGCGGCCAGAACATCCCTCCCAGCCGGCAGTTTACAATGCTGCGAACTAAGGATCTCATCTGGACTTTGTTTTTCCTGGGAACTGCAGGTACATTTTTTAAAAAATTGTACATGGGGTTTGCTAATTGTCCGCTAGCCCCTGTCCTTCCTCCCTCTGCCCGAGGAACACGGTTCTTTGGGGAGGTTTTGTGTGTAAAGCTGAGACCTAGCATTTTCACTGAGCTGAGCAGAGAGCGCATCGCATCGCCCTTGCTGTCCAGCCAAACCCGTGCCCTCCGGGACGGCGCTGGACGCGGCTGCCTCCCTGCTCGGTGGCAGCCGCGCACGCCCTTCCCACTTGTGTGCCCGCGGAGGTGGGACAGGGGTATAGGACTGGGATGCTGCGGTGATGGAGAACTGGGGAGCGCTGCTTTGCCTTCCCCGAAGGCGGGCGGCGGGGATGCGCGGCTCGGGTGGTGTCGTTCCCGGGCTCGTCTTCCACCAAGAGGGGCTTGTCAAGGTTCGGGAAGAGTGAACAATAAAGCTGGGGCAGCTTTCCCCCATCGTTATGTCCTGGGGTGTGATAAAGTCGGGCTCGCAGCCTTCGTGCACTCCCCCTTCTTCCCCGCCCCGAATAACGGTTTGCAAAATGGGGCAACCCTGGGCAGCACCGCAGGGCCGTGTGGTCGTTCCTGCACCCCCGTGCAAATGACGTTAGTTTTTCATTTGCCAAATCCTGGGTAGTTGCAAAGCCTGCCCTCGGCCAGGAGCACGGAGGGATGGGAGGGTCCAGCGCCGCGTTTTGACAGGAGGAAGTGCAGAGGGGCGGAGGGCGAGGAGGGCGTGATCCGGTCTGCCTGGTGTGTGTGTGCGCGCGCGTGTGCGCGCGTGTGCCTTTACACGCACCGAGAGCCTAGGGTTGCACGGTGCCAGCGAAGAATGGCAGGTAGCCAGCTGCCCGAGACACCTCGCCCAGTCTCCTTTCTCTGGGCAATGTTCCTGATCCTGGCAAAGTGTGAACAATGGGGCGCTCAGGAGAAAGACCATAGCAATGTTGTCGCGGGTGGCGGGGGTTGTGCCGCCGCCCAGAGATCCTCAGCATCCCGGAAGGGGGGGGGCATTGCATTTTGGCTATTTCCATCTCTGCTTCCCTGGAAAATTCTTCAGTGTGCCCACCCTTCTCGCCAGCTGCTGCCCCCACATCATCCAAGGATTTGCGCTTTGGCGTCCCCGTGGACTGGGAGAGGGGGAAGAAAAGGCCGCTGGGGCCGCGCAAAGAGCTGGGTGGGATGGGCTGACAGCTGGGGCGGGGGGCGTGTGCTGCCAAGCACCAGCTGAAAGCAGGCTAGTCATAGAGGACCGCACATGGTTGTCGCTTCTGCCAGACGTAGCTGTCTGTACCTGTCCTGGATCGCTGGGTGGGGAGTGCGCAGGGCAGCCCCGGGAGCACCCAGTGCGCCCCCCTCTGTGGGCACCAGGAGAGCAAAGCTGGGCCACCGCCTCCAGCCAACTCCGGTCGGCGACCAATCAGAGCGAGGCTGGCTGGGCGGGAAGCCGCGAGAGGCTTTTATTGCGGCGCGGGTGGCGCCCGAGCTGCCAAGACGGTCTTCGGGTGTTTTAGCTTAACGGTCTCGCTCGCCTCCCGCTAGGAGAGACCCCGCCCTGATACTGTCCCTAGCTGCCCTGCAGTTTCTGAGGACATAAAATGGGGAAGAGATGGGCGCTGGGACATCTCTTGATCCAGCTAGCTCATGCTCGCTCACTCGTGCCTCTTTCACGCTGGCTTGTAGCATCCCGGCTCCCCCTCCTTGGTGCACAGTTGCACCGGAGTGCTTTGCTTGCGAGCACAGAGGACAGTATCCCCCAAGACGTGGCCCGGAGCGCAGACGCGCGTGCGCTGACCCTCTGGCCAAGGACTAGACGCTGGGCTAGAGGGGCGTGGCGAGGCGTGGTAGGGCGTGTCTTGACTGGGCGTGCCGACTGGGTCCTCGGTACCACCAGGCCCAGGACTGGCAGGGGCGTTCCCTTCTCTGTGGTGCTGTGGGTGACCTCCTCTTAGGGTGTGTTTATTGAGACTTTCCTTCTGGATAGGAGCGTGACAATGGAGACCTGATCTTCCACGATGTGTCTTTTTAGGATCTCCTGGTGGACTTCTCCATGATGGAGATGGGTGTAACCCTCAGTGTTTGAATCCCGCATGGAAGCTGAGGGAGGGAATCCTACTGATGTGTTCCCGGATGCTCAGGCGAGCGAGGCTGGCATCCTGACTAGGGTTCCCTGGAACGAAAGCATCCTTATTCTGCCCTTAAGACCAGAGGGTGAGGATGAGAAAGAAGCACACACTAGACTATTTAACAAAAGAAAGAAGTGGGTTTACAAAGAGAATTTTCAATTAAAGTGTTGTTTGTAGCAGCCTAAAAAAATCCAGAGAATTCAAGTCAAA